GGCATAGCAGAATATGCAGAAGTAGACACTTAACCTTATATAAAATTAAACAAATAGACACACGTCTTACATCATGCATGTATCATGATATGTTGTGCGTGTGTCTTCTTGTTCAACTTTGTTTAAGTTTGAGTGTCTACTTGTGCACACTCAAAATTGAAGAACATAGATGTCGGCTGAAACCAAGTTAAAAGGCACGTTTACGTATTATATCATTTATAAAAACACAACTAACAAAATCCATATAACAATCCATAGACATAAAAAGGAAATAGTCATAATAACTTATTCAGAAAAGTTCATAAGACTACTAGGCGCAACAAGTAACCAAATAACATGAAACAGCTCTCTGCTACAACCAGCAACAAACAAACAGCAAACCCGATATAATCCCACAAGTGAGGTTTGGAGAGGGTAGAATGTACCTCTACCGTTAACCAGCAACAACAAACAATAGCTGCAATAACAAAAAAAGTACAACACAGTTTTAAACAGAATATGTATGAGCATGTCAACAAGAAAATATATTCAAGGGAACATAAATGAGTGATAAAATAACATCAGTATTTGCTTAAGATTGTACCTGCAATCAGATTGGAAATGAACTAGAGGTTGCAGCCTTAATCTTTCAATGCTAAGAAAAGATTTTAACGTCACATTTGTGGCCATAACCCTCTCTTGTTTCTTTGATAATCCTAGCTGAGTCGGCAACATCTTCACTGCATGATTTTACCTCAATGTATCGCAAACAACTTAGTTCCTGAAAACTATCAGGGATGGCTTCGAGATGTAAACATCCACGCAAAACCAATTTCTCAAGGCGATCGAAGGCTTCCTCAGACACTTCCCATTTTGAGAGTTGGAGATTTTCTAGTTCCAAGAGTTTGAGCTGAGAAAACTCCTGATCTCTCACTTCCCATTCACCCATTTCAAAGGCAACTTGTCGCAGTTTAAGTACCTCAAGGTTGACAAGTTTGGCAATAGTTGCAATTTCCTCAGGTGGCAAAGGAAATTTGCATAATGTCAGTTTCTTGAGATTCTCTGGAAAGTTTAATCTTGAAGGACCTACCTCCGAGATACCAACGAAGACTACTTTTAGCGTTTCAAGTTGAGATAATGAGTCTAATACAGGAAACCGATTTTCATTCTTTCCCCAACGCCCTAAATCAGCAAATACGCATCTTAACTTCCGAAGATTGGGTGTTCTTCTTACCATCCTTTCCATATTGTTCATCCTGGAGATATATATTGAAGAAAACGTTTTCAAATTGTCCAGCTTTAAGGACTTTCCATCACAGGATTCTGGTGCATCACGCGAAGCAAACAAAGCGCCATCACAAATGCTAACATATCTCAACTTACTCAGCTTCCAAAAAGTATCTGGCAACCATACTTGTCCTCCATTTCTTTTGACTATGAACGTTTGAAGATTCCAAAGATTTTCTATAGATGATGGAATAGAATTCTTAGTAGTTTGAACAGCAAGGTACCTTAGCTGATTAAGTTCAGTGGGAAAAGAATCTACAACAACCACCTCTAAGTCTAACACCCTGAGATATTTGAAGTTGCCAAAGATGAAAGAGGCATGTCCCATTGATGAACATGCACTATCACTAAGCTCCCTGAATAAGATAGAACGAGCATGTGAGCTTGATGGCTTCCACTCAGAAAGATCATCCCGATTAGAACAAAAGGATAAACGGCGGTGCATAGGCCTTTTAGAATAAAAACGCGGAGGATTGGAATGACGATCCCTGGAATCAAGAATATAAGTAGGATAAGGAATAAGAGAAAATATCCTAATTAATCAAAACATATAAAGAGGTAATACCTTTTCAGCCACAAAAGGAAATTATCTTCCTTAGCTTTCTCCTTGCAGAAATCGAGCATTAGATCATGCACACGACATGCTTTGATCTTCCCGGTTGAGTTCCTCTTAGTTATCATAATGAGGTTTCTTCCGATAAGATCCTTCAAGTAATCTTCTGCCGTATCCTCCAAACACTTGTCCTCATTGTTTTTTAAGAATGCCTCAGCAATCCATAAGCTTGTTAATTTTGACACTGAAATTTCCCTGTCCTCTAGAAATGCACTGAAATATAAAAAGCATGATTTCAGTTTGTTAGGTAAATCTTCATAACTTAATTTTACTAAATCCTTTGCGCCATCCTGCACTCTTTCCCCAAAACTTAATTCCATCCGCGTCCAGCATCTTTCTGTCTTGTCAATCTTTGTGAGAAGACCAGCCACTAAAACAATGGAAAGTGGCAGCCCATTACACTTGAATGCAATGTTTTGCCCAACTTCTTTTAGATCTTCGGGGCACATTTCTTCCCCAAATACCTTTTTTTGTAATAACAACCAACTCTCTGAATCTTTCATACTACGCAAGTGTATGGGTTCAGTGACACATTTAGCATACGTAGCAACTTCTTCAAGTCTGGTCGTCAGAATTATTCTGCTACCTTTTTTGGCCTCAGGAAAGCATAATCTCAAATCGTCCCATGCTTGTACTGCCCACACATCGTCAATGATTAAGAGGTACCTCTTTGGCAATAGAGTTTTTCTTAGTCTATCAGCTAATATATCAGCACTTCTTTTACTAATATCAGTGAGACCAGAATTAGCAGAACTCAAAATGGAAAACAGCAAGTCTTCACGCGTGTATTCTTGTGAAAAACGACACTCTGCACAGATATCAAAATGAGTACCAATTATGCCATCATTGATGAAACTTCGAGCAAGGGTTGTTTTGCCTGATCCAGCCATACCCACAATGGAAACAACATCCAGTTCTCGTGATCCTCCAACTAGTTGATCTCTTATAGTTTTACAGACATCTGTAAAACCAACCAGTTCTCCGTCGGTAGCTTGGGAGGCACTTGTCATAGTTTTTCCCTTGGGTTTGGTCAACTCAGTCTTAATGAGCTCAATCTCCCTTATGATTTCCAAGAGCCACGTCCTAAGAAAAGTAATAGGTACATCACTAATTGCAAAAGAATCAAGTATGTACTCGACCTCATAAGCCTTATCAATGACTCTTCCAACAAGATTTTGGAGTTCGTGATGCTTATTATTGCCTTGTTCTGCTACACGCATGATGAAAGGCTCGAAAAAGTTAAGCTCCTCATGGACTACCTCGATTTGATCCTTCACAGAAGCAAGTGAAGCAGAATGACCAGACAGGAACTCTTTCAAGCTAATAAGAAGGCAATTGGAAAAACCCAATTTATCATTCTTAGGCAAATGAGATGTTACCCACTCTCGGATCTTGTGGCAAATCTCTGTTTTGACTGACTGAATAATGCCATCGAGAAGAAGCAATTTTTGGTCCCAATTACCCTGCGAGTAGACAGTAAGTCCAGCATGAATGACCAGCGTCACTAGTCGCTTGAAGAAATGGATCCTCATCTCATCCTGAATGTCGTTAATCAATGGTAACTCTTTGAACAAAATTCTCAAACGGTTGATCTGTTCAGGAAAAGTATACTTTTGATCTGTAGTCCATGAATCCGCTCCTAAATGCATGTGTACGTGCAGAAGAAAATCCATGAATTCATCCGCAGCTTTATCGAGGTACCAGTTGACATGAGTGCTGTTGAATGATGATAACTTTAAAACATATTTCAGGAGCTCGTCACCGGGGACAATCTGGCTACACATCAAGGTATTCTCCATCATATGAGAAAATCTGTCGTAACAAGGCAAGTATAAGAAAATTGCTGCACGGGTAGTCACAAATCTAAAATGAAGCCAGAAAGTTTGCCAGCAGTTAATTTGTATTGTTGAAATGCATATTTTTCCCAGAAAGAAGATAAACTTCTTCAGTGCTCTCAACTCCTTTACGAACGATTCCACTTGAGAATGTACATCAGGCAGCTTGACAAGGCGAACAATCAGCAGGTCCTTAAAATTCTGTACAACATTGTCTATGTATTCCAGCATATCTATGTGGTTCAGAGGCGTAGTAACAGGAAGTAGACTTTCTTCTGAATCCAAATAATTTTTTGGGATAAAGAATTTGCAATGCTCTATCGATCCTAGCACGTAAGAGGGATCAGCATCAAAGTTAGAGCGATACAGATCTTCTGCAAATACCAGGAGACTTCTAATCCGCATTTGAAGGGATCTACTCCACTCACAATGCCTCAAGAGGAGAAATCTACCCAGAAACCATAGCTCTGTCTTAATCAACTTGATTTCCTTCTTTTTGTCATCCGTCAAGTGATACTCACTTATCCTTTGCAGAATGCTTACCGGATCAGGATCAGGATCAGGGTAAGGATCCTCTTCATCCGACATACTTCTGAATTTGCAAATAATTGAAGAGATTAGTGTATTGTGTTAGCATGATGGACAGCTAAATGATTGTATATATTAATGTAATTATATAGTGATATAAATTATCATGATCATATATATTTGTTGTAGAATCAAAGGAATAAATATTGTGAAAGAATAGCTGATTTGGAGGGATAGCAAGGTAGATTTAGAGGGATTGAATAGCAGATTTGTAGAGATAGAATAGCTGATCTTTAGGGATAGGAATGGCGGATCTTTAGGGATGTGTAATCTTTATTTTCTCTATATAAAGGAAAGACTCTCACTTTGAGAGACATTCAGCAGAAAATTGAC